AAATTTAGCTCACTTGGTGTTGTAGATGTATTAACCCCGCGGCTGTATCTATTTTTATATAAGTATAACGTAAGGAATGTTATATGAAACACTTCGGATTTATAAATTAATTTTATGATTAATAGGTAATTTGGTGTAAAATTTATTGAGGTATACACTTAATCAATTCTTGAAATAGTCTACTTAAAATCAAACGTAGAATTGACCGCTTTACCTCTTATAACTATTTACTATATGATATTATATTATATATAGTTTTATTAACTATTCGATCCCGTTGTGAAGAAACTAAAATTTAGTACATGTACTATATCAGTTTCTTTCTGTAAAGTTTTTATTGAATCTTAAAAAAATTGTTTACACTATTAAATAATAATTCAAGCCACTATAAAGTAACTATTAATAAATCTGTATTCTTATCATTTCGTTTATAATTTTATTTTTAAGGAAAAAAATTACATAGAATTTGCTACTTAAAAATCACTCTGTCATCCGTTTAATAGATAGTTATAAAGGTATCATGAATATATAGACAAACGCGGCAAGAGACTTTGTTATATAATATTTCTCTAGACAAAATCTTAGTAATCCCAGGATATGATCAATATCTCTTTGCTAAATCTAATCATAAGAGTACATTACATTACATTAAAATTACTTATTTCTGCAAGAAGCACCAAAAGATTTCTTATAAAAATTATGAGTACAATTTATATTAAAAACTTCTATTTGTACAAAGAAAATAAAAGTTTTTAATATAAATCTTGTTCATTCTGTTGAACAGTTCATTCTTGTCATTAAATGTGAATGCTATTAATGTTATTTTAATTATATTAATATTGAAAAAAAAAAATAGAACTATCATAAATTTATACTGGACATGTCGGCGAAAAGCTGTTACTTCAGATAACAACAGCAGTAGTTTCACCTACAGCATGCTATTAATCAGCCTTAGGCTGTAGCAGGTCGACTAAAATTAATTATGTATGTACACATTCCGAACGTTTTGTTATATATTGAGTAAGTAACCGGAATTAAAAAAAATAAGATATAAGAGATAGTTTGAAAAACAATAAATAAATCAACTTTTTTATGTAAGTGAAATGGCAAACTTCTAGAAGGCTCAGAAGTTGTGCATCCTTGTAAATTAATATAGATATGACATGTTTATATATTCTATTTCAAATGTAAAAGATTATTTATATGACAATTTCCAATATCAGAGCTATATCTGTGCAACTAATCGTCAAACAATTATAATTTAGCATTTATGCTACAATATTTTTCGGCTAATAAACATATAATTTAGAAGTAATATACACAATTGTTTGAGGTTTTTCTATGGCCGATGTCCGGGTTCTTGCAGAATAGAAATTTTGCATTCATGAAACAATTAATCTATAAATTTTGAGGTATATTTTTAAAAATACTTTTAATTAATAAGTTATTATAAGTACATTCTATTTTAAGTAAGTTTTACTTTAATAATGTATGTATAATGTACCTATAAGGAGATTGGAAATACTATTATTATTTTTTGTTTCGTTATCCATTATGAAAAGCAAAGAAATAGTGTTCATGCATCTATTATCTATTATTTAGATATATTTTGACAAATCATTTCATATTACAGCTTAAACTAATTAACATACTGTCATTGTACTGAATGCACCAAAATTCTATAGAAATGTGTATGTAAATTATTTAAACGGTACGCGCGAATTAAATCGCCGATGTATACTGTCTCTTATCTAACTATACCTACAGTAAAGTTTAAAGTGAAAGTGAAATTGTCTAATTATTTTTTTTACCCTTTTCAAAGATGACACAGCGTTTCAGTTGTCTGTTTTTTTCATGCACCAAGAACACAATCTTCATCTGCGGTCGGTGTGAAATAACAAGAAAACGAGCGTGATTGACTTTCAAGCAAAACGGGCTCATTCTAATGTGGTCTCGATTAAATTAGTATTGTAAAGAAAAAAAATTATCGTACGCTTAAATAAGCGCCGATAATCAGTTTTTAATGTTGTTGATAAAACTCCTTTTTTAATAGCACTTTAATTGTTTTTATTGTGATTATATTTTCGAAATTTATAATAACATTCATTCACACATTTCTGTGGACAATAAAGTTAAATTATTTTTTAATAAAGTTATATAATAATAAATAAAGTAATGAAACCTGCACTGAACAGAGAGCTTGTCGTCTTTATATTTTTAATGCTTTCGTATGGTTTAATGGTATAATATCAGTGTACATTAATGTTTAATTCTTATTGCGACAATTGTTATATTATATATAACATACATTTAAAACCTTTAGCGTTTTTAAAATAAAATATTATGTTTGTTATTTTATTTTATATTACAATTGCATACTTAATATTTTGAGGCAGTATTATCTTATTGATATATAATATTTTTCAATAAACTATTTTGCATTTTATATATAAAATTAATCGCAGTACGTAACCTGCTCCGCTTCTGATCCTGGGTCAACTGTATCCATCCATAAAATAAAAAATTTACACACGAAATAATTTTAATCAAGTTAAGATTATTTCGCACCGACAAAAAAATACATTTTAGATAAAACTCTTCTCTCACATATATACAATTGTACATTTAAGTAAACATTGGATTTTATACCTTCATTTATTCGAATGATGTAAGGGTAAGATAAGAACAGTTGCGCGAACTCGGTTGCCGCAATTATTTTTATATGTTTTTACCTTTTTTTTAGTAGCCGTGTGATGTAGGTTGTCTTTTAAGGAGCCGATATATTGTGGGTATCGCATTTTATGTCTGGTCACATATTAAAATCGATAGCGGCCCAGTTTCAATCACAGTTTTTCGAGTGATACACATCTATATATTGTTAAATAATGAGTAAATTTGGGACAAGACGATTGAATTTAAAATTGGTATAAATTGATGCAGAATATTGTGGAGATAAGATTTTGAGTGCAATATAAATTGTGGTTGTATTTTAAACGTAAATTTGACAACGGTCGTCTTCACAACGATTTTCCAGTACTCATGCTGTAATTAAAACTTTCTTTTCAACCGATAACAAACATTAAATATACAATTTGATTGTGCTTATATGTCCCATAATATATTTTCCAGAAGCTATTTTGATTACATAGAGAGATTTAATGGCTAAAATAAAATTTCGTGGTCTGTTTATAACTAGTCACAATTCTACTAAGAATATGATTATATTAAAGTTACTTTTCCAAGTAAAACTAACAGATGTGTGTGTGTGTGTGTGTTTTAAATAATATATAATAATCAACAATAATTTTAATGTGTAAAATTATGAATCCTATGCTATAAAATTATCTTTAAAGAAATAAGTTATGTCTTTTGCTATACCATTTCAATAAATAATATTACATAGACATACATATGTTGGTTATACAAGTTCTTAGTTTGTAGCTACAACTTTAAAATTGTATTAGGCTATATTCAGTAATAAATTTGACTATTAATGTTATCTTATAGCTTAGATGTGTTTGTATTCGTTACCAATATTTATGTTGACACGTACTAAACTTTATATGTTACTAGCGACTCACCGCGGCTTTGCACGGTTGCATTATAATTCTTTGAATTTCTCAGATTTTTTGTGCTATAATATAAATCTATTAAACTTAGTCCGGAATGAGCCAATATATTGCTGAAAATGTATTAAAATCCATTGCGTAAATTAAAACATCTAAGTGGGCAGATATGGGCGGCGAATTTGTTTTATACTATGTAAATATAATATATATATATATATATATAATAGGACTATCACATAATAAAATAGGTTTACTATAGTTACATTGCATTCAAACTAAGAGCAAAAAAGATTATTAACTATGCATTGAGTCCCGGTTTAACGCAGTTCGAAGTTACAATAGCGACAAACAAAAAACGTGCGACGGCGGGCGGCGCGCGCCGCGTCAACTAACTCACTTTCTGGTTTACTAGGTCGGATAATTTTATTATGTTTTATTTTACACTTAATTATTTTATAAAATGAGGGAAAACGCTAGTGAAACTGCGTACCCTTCACTTTTATTTTGATCTTTTTTACGAGACCTACGTCTGGATTTGAGATAAACATTCTCGCTCCGTCGGGTAATTTTGCTGTATTGTAAGTTGTATTATTAGGAACGGAAGACTATTTTACTAAAAAATGATAAATGACTATTTTAATATTAATTAAAGTAATATAACAGATGAATTACAAATTGAGAACATTTTTGGGTTTAAATTAATTAAAATTATTGTATGTGATATCAATATGTTATTAAATTGTAACATTTCATTTAATTTTGTTATCATAGATGTGACATGCTTAGCCGCTATTAATAACTAAATTAAAACTAATTTACAAAATGTATAGTAATTGTATTATTATTAATATTTCAACTTAAAATTACTTTTTGTTAAGCATCACATATATTTAACTTACCGTTATAGGTAAATTAAAGGAGTTTTTTTATTAAATCACTTAACATTGACTATTTATGCTTACGCAATTTAAATAAGTAATAAAAAAAATGATAATAATGTTATATAAAAATGCAGTAAAACGAATTAAGGTGTACTTTTTGACTTATCATAAGTATTTATTTCTTGTATATATTTACGATTGAGCAGAAATAATTGGTCGTAACTATTAATGAATCTGTAATTGGATTCGCGCATCATACAATTCAAACTGTATCATTCAAATAAAATAAAAAAATGCAACGTATTTGACTTTAACATAATTAAACTGGTCATTTGAAGTACGATGAGTAATTACTTTTACAGTCTGAAAGTTAAAATTATTGAATTCTTAATTGGCCCATAAACAAATGTAGAGCACGTTTTATTGTTATTACCTTCACAAATTGTTTTATATATTCAATAAGAATTATACACACTACTTTTTAATATATTTCTTTATATTGTTATTTTTATTATCACCGTAAAAGCTTAATATAAGGAAATGTACCTACCAGTGGTAATGGAAGAGAAGAATAATTTTGGCTGATCCCAACGGTTTTAATTACGTTATAAGTTTTTAGATTCTCACAATTCAATTTATAAATTTATTGTTCAGTATAAAAAGTATCCATTAACTTTGTTTATATTCGTTTTAATTACAGCACAGCTTATCGTTTTCACTTTCGTACAAGCACTTAACCAAAGTTGTTAATGAAACCCAAGAAAAAAACACACAATTCAAAATAGTCGATCCCTTCTAGTTACTATCATTGAACACTGGTCCATAAAAATATCCATTCCATCACTATACGAGCAGAGTATTTTTTTACAATGTCCGCGCGAGCTTAAAGCTGCGGAGCGTTACGCGGTGCGCGTGCGCAGGTCGCCGTGGCATCGCGTTATCAGCGCGAGCGGCGCGCCGCGCGACAACAACAGAACTTGAGAGCCGATCTCAATAATAACAAGAAAAGAAAACGGTCCAGTTTCAGCGAGGCTTCCGGATGGCGCGGGCGCAGTGTCGCCGGACTGCTCACACGTAAGGCGTCATTTCGCTCTCTCTGTCTAACGGTACCGCCGATGTGCGCACGCTGAACGATAGCGCGCTATAGTCGCAATTGCGACGCAGCCCTGCACGCTCGTGAGTAGAGCCTTCGAAGGTTTTGAGGGCTATTTCCCGCCATTTTTACGTATAAGAGATCGAAGTAGAAATCAGTTGGTTATTCTAAGTTTTAGTTAATAATGTCTTAACTTTATAATAGTATGACTAAGTACTTATATCAAATTTTATGAATAGTTGCAACGTTCTTTAAATTTTTATAATGTCTTTTAAATGGTGTTCCAAAAATTCCAAATATAAAACACTATATATTATTTGAATTGAAACCTAGTCATTACTATTATTTGTTTATATAGAAATAGGACATAGATGAGGTTATATAAGAATAGATTTTTTTTTTCGACAAGAGGTTATTACGTACATTACAGTTAGATTTCTATTTTCCCAAAACGACAATATATTAAACTACTAATCGGATTTATCGTACCATTTAATAATTATGTTATATATTGTAACATATAAGGAGTAATTAAAATAAAACACGAGACATATATAGTTCATTGATACAAGAGAAATAAAATAGAAATAGAAGTATTAAAAATACAACAAAATATAAGATACCGGCATACACTACAACGGTGATCAAAATTACTTTTTCTTAATTTAACCTTGAACGAGGTCTCAACTCCAAGCGATATACTTATACTAAAGTCGTATCCAGAGGCATATCTTCGGACATTAGTTGCTATGTCGCCGCTCCATGAGTCCATTCGCGGGCTTATAGTGCCCTTTGAACTCGCCCCCATTTTCGGCCAGTAGAGCTTTGAAAGTCATCTAAATGAAGTTTGTAGATCTCATAGTAATGACATATATCTTTTTCAATTGTAAAGTGAAAATTATTAATATAGAAATATGGTACAATTTAATCAATCATCCGGTGTGGAAATCGATCAATCATAATATTAGACCGATGTAACGGAGTATCACGAGTGTATGCTTACAAGTTTTTCTCCTCGCTAGTCTACGAATAGGATAAGATGGATATCCGCAGCATTTATTGGATTCCACGTTTCACAGGAACTCGTTATACTCTACTTTTTTATTGTGTATGTTTATCTAATGGTGGACTCGCCTGCGTTGTCAGTGCTCGCTGGTGGAACGTCAGTGGACGATGATAGGATGAAGAAAGCATTTACCTGGAAATAACCACAGTGGTTTCTGGATGGGACTACGTAGAGATAATATTTTATTTATATATATATTGTATTATATATGTTAATATTAATAAAGTATCTTATATATATAAAGTACATTATATAGGTGATTGTAGTAATGCGGAAAAATGACCCTATCATTATTCCCCATTACTAAAAATCACCTCCTAGTTATATAAATATAAATAAATTAAAAAATATAACTAATGCTCAGTTATATATTTTAAAATTAGTAAAGAATTTTCATACTAATATTATTTGTTGAATACTTCCTAAAATTATAGAAAAGCTGTTGAGCTTCTCTTCCTTATTACTTTTTTTTATTAGAAACAATTTTAAAAATATATATTTTAATAATAAATATATATATAAATAATATCTAAAATAGGTAGTCTATTATATAAATATGGAGAAAAATTTATTTTTTATATATATATAGATACCCAAGTAAGAATATATTCCTGTAAATTAAAACAAGATATCTACATTACTTTCAGAATAATAACAAACTATGTTAGCTACGTATTACCGTGTCAATAATGGCAATGGAAAAAAATAGAAGTAGCTAGTTTTATAAATATTAATTTAATTTTTATATCACTAGTTGAAGAGTTTTAGATATGTGAAGTGTAGAATTTACTTCGCCCCGGGCATTAAAATCAAGTTCATAACTAATGATATATTTAACAAAAACTAACGTGAACAGAATTGATTAATTACGCTGATATTATATAACCAGATTTGAATAGAATGTTATGCCTAACTGTAATACTAACAATTCTACAAAAGATAACACAAGGCCTTAAAAAATGAAATCTCTAAACCTGATAGATCACAATAGACACACTTTATGAATAATATCAAATGATTAGCGCCATCTATTGCGTCTAGTTATAGACTAAATAGTATAACAATTGTTCTTTTTAAGTAATATTTATACTACTTCAAAAGCAATATATTTAAAAAATTGAATAATACTATAATATTTTTAATTAGTTTGATGTGAGCATGCGTTGATGTCTTTTACATGAAACGTCATTTGAATGATGGATGATACCTATATTATGCATCTTTGTATCTATATATTACTACTACTAATTATACTATTTATATACAAAATACAATATTATAATTCAATATGATATTGTCTATCGATATAAGCCTCCGCAGTCTTTCAACTTTAGGTGATTAATAACTGAAAATAAAGTGAACTGATGATAACATGAGTTTTTACATATGAATGAAAAATGACTAGTTATTGAATTTTTAAGGTGTTAATGTATATTGTAATTATTATTTACTGAAGTGTGGTTTATATCGATATATTATTAAAAATTGTTAAAAAGATCGATATCGATCTTAAAAAAATGATACATATTTTTGTTTGAAATGAAATATGTCCTCTATTTAATTGAGAACTATATTGTATACACATGTTATAGCTTTAGATACTACTGAACAATGAAATTTATTTATAAATATACTGTATATTATATATGTCCAAAGAAATATTTATCATTAATTTTTACTCATACATTACTTGCATGGTAGTCGAATTATAGAAACTTTTTAATCTACATAAATATGAATAATATTAAAAAACCCTTAACACGGCATTAAAACTGCTTAAGTGAGAGTCAACATACATTATCCCATGTTGCAATGATGTACTCGTAGCGTAGGTACACAGTGCCAAGAAAAAACATCGATGTAAAAAAAACTAACACGTGTGATCATTTGCGTGTATTGAGACCATATGTTCTTTTGAAATCTAATCAAGAGTAAACGGAATAAATTAATAACATAATCAATTAGGTCACCTATTTGAAACAATGTACAATTTAAAAGTATAAATAGTGTTCATAAGTATAAAATATATCGTTCATATATTTTATATTGTCTAGCGGTTTAGCACACCCCTTCATGGTGCAAACATTTGTATTCATGGTATGATTTTTTGATTCCTCGGATGTTTTCTATGTGCAAACATTTGTATTCACAACCGTGTTTAGTATGATTTTTAATGTATTGATCTGGATGTTTTCTTTTATGTATGTATAAAAATTTATAATAAGATACCAAAAAAATCTAAATAAATTCAAAACATAATATTTATATTAGTTGTCTTGAATGACGAGTGTGCATGGCATAATGCACAATTTTCATTTAATGTTTACCATTGTAAATAAACTGGCTTTAAAAAAAAAAGTAATTCAATTGAGTTTCTTGCCAGTTCTTCTCAATTGGATCTATATACCGAACTGGACGGTAGGGAAAAAAATAAAATTATAATGTAAAAATTTGACGTTCATAAGCGGCTAAAATGTCATTAAATGATTTTTGAATTTGAATTTGAATTTGAATAATTATTTTAAATTAAATAAAGGACCCTAATATATATAATAATAAATGCGATAATGTGACTGTCTGTTTTTAACCTTTTCAGAATTAAAAGGCTGTATGGATATTAATAAAATTTAACGCCAAGATAGATTATATTGCGTGTAATGACTACCTGTTATCTCAAAAATGTATGGACAAAGTCGTGAAAAACAGTTCATTATAAATATTCGGGTCCGCATCGAATAGAAAACAAGTTCGAGTTCTCGTGACATTTTTGATGACAATTTCGTCATGCAGAGCGAAATTGTTTCGGCGAAAAATTAATTAACCATATCAACTGATGTTACTGAGATAAATAATTGCGATTGCGGACAATTATAAAATTAAAGTACATTATAACGATGTGAATTGTATTATTGGAGTGATTTGCCAGTTGACAGTAGCTTATCGGCGTAACCAATTATTAAACAAAAAAGCCAGAATTCACTTTTAAAAAGTTATTCATGTAAGTTTTCTTTCATTTAGAATTATTATTTCAAATTAGAATTAAGAAATTAAAATTTTTTCAATCCTAAAGGAGTATGTCCTTAATGATAACTAATATTGAAATAAACACCGTAATACTTTAATTTTCTTGAAATAAAACTATATTATATTTTATGCATTACAGATTTTGATATTATATTTTAATCAAAGCAATAAATAAATAAATTTACGTTTATAATACGAAAACTACGTCAATAATATACATAAATTTATATACAAGTAGACGTGAATTTATAATACATATTTATATTGTAATAATAATCCCGAAAGGGCAAAGGGTATAATATTATAAATCTTGGAATTGTATAGTAGAACAAGTCGAGTTGATATGGAATCACTCCTTCATCATGAACTCATAATTAACAGTCAGACCTTAATTAATCTTTTTAATTATCTTTCACCCGTTTACTGATCAAAATAATAATTAAGTATTATAAATTGAGTCTGTGATGACTTAATAATAATCGTCATAAATGTATGCAATGTAATGCAGTTGACATTTAATTAGTTGTACAATGTTATTTGAAGTGCATGACAGATTTTATAAATGCATAATTAAAATATAAAACATTCGAAACGATTATTAAATACATTTGATGGCTTATAGATAAAATTAATAGGTACATATTTTGTATGTACAATTAAGTATAGAGAAATTATTTTGATTATTAAATTTATTGATGTAAATAATTATAGTATAACTTTAATAGAAATACAAATAGAGATAGAAATAATCTTTAACCA